CTCTCGCGACCAGCGATCAGCCCAATGCAAACGTACACGCTTCAAACAATGGGCCACGGTACACGGATGGATCGAATCAAATTATCGATTGTGGGGAGAACCTTTTGAACCTCTGAAAAACAATTCAGAAACAAAACGCGGGAGAAACAAAAGCTTAACTAGAGCTATCGGCAATAAATACACTGTTGAAGAAGCAATGTAGTTAACTATGGCAAAAGGCGCTAGACCGGATTCACTAGAATAATACATCATAGAAACAACTCAAATAATTCATATTAAATTAAAGTTTCTGCAGCTGTTCTGAGAATAACGTGTTTTAATTATAATTAGAAGAGTAAGCATTGAAGCTAATCATTCAAAATATGAGATTAAAAAATAATTAATAAAAGCTATGCTAAAAACACCTAAATCTAATCAAGCCACGCAATAAGGACATGTGGCATCGTAGTCCATCAACATGTAAAAACAATTCCACTATATTGGTAGCATCTGTGATAAGTTTGTGCACTGGAACAATCGTCCGGAAACAGATGCTCATCCGTGTTATGTCTTGCTGAAGTCAAGCAATGGTCAACCATCGCTGACTTGTATAAATGTAGCTATTCGAAGCAACTAGCGTTGAAGTTTACTATGTAACAAAACAGGCAAAACTAAATGAAACATACTGAAAAAGGGGTGAACTGATTTCAGCAAACGGTCAGAACATACTGTAACATCTGTACAACGAGGCCAAAAAGAAAAATTTCTTTCACTCCAAAAGTAACTTAATGATCCGAATCTTCTTCCATTTCCTAAAAATACACTGAGTAGATCTCCAAAGATTTCTATGCAATACCACAGAATGAGAATTTCCATAACAAAACTGTCTAAAGAAAATGACTCTGACTATTAGAATGCTCGTTTGTTTTTTATATCGAACTACCAATTGGCGTCAGTGTGTGGAGCCTTTCTAAACAAAATTGATCTGCCTTTATGCAAAAGGAATCACGTTGCCCACTGCCCACTTCCAACGCATAATATAACTCGCTTATTTACCACGAAAGGACTGAAGACTAATGACCACCCGTCCCAAGTTCGGACAAGCAACTTTGCGACAAGTTCGGTGTGCGATGCATAAATTATGCTGCACGTTTAAAAGAATTTATAAAAAAAGATTTTCCAAAAATTACCTGGCTATTCTTATGGTTTTCGGCGTCGCTGGCAGCACTTTTATTGCTTCTGCTGACACTCGCGGAGCGCGATTCCTTGTCAGAGTGAGAATGATGTTCAGAATGGTCGTCGTGATCGGATGGAGTTGCGCTATGACTTCGACTGCGACTATGACTCGGACTACGGCTCTGCGTGGCGCTACGGCTGTGAGTGCCACTTCTGCTACGACTATGACTTGGAGTCTTCGTTGCCTTCTTCCGGTCCTTACTCGGTGGCGATTTGTCATTCTTCTCAACCGGGGATTTCGAACGACTTTCGCTATCAGAGCGCGATCGACTGCAACGAATAACAAAACTCAGTTAGAGATGTAGTTTCTTTACTAACAGTACCTTCGTCGCGAAGAACCGGAACGAGATCGAGATCTGCTGCTGGAACCGCGCTTCCTCGAGCGAGAGCGCGAACGCGAACGAGAACGTGAAGAACCACTGCTAAATAAAGGTGTTACTACGAACCGCAAACAGACTCTCCTACCTTCGAGAACTTCCACGAGAACCCGATCGGCTTGAACGACTATCAGAGCGAGACCTAAATTTTAAGAAGCAACCGAATTTTACAAAAACGAACTTTGAAGCTTTCTTCAAGAGGTTCGACAGATAAATCATTAGAAGCAATCGGTTTAAGTTTCGAATAACTAAATATAACATGTGCACCATTTACGTGATATAACCTGATATATCAAATTATTCCAGTAAGTTTCTTAGAGTGCGTACCATGCATAAAATAAGCATATCAAATGGTAGCGCACAGAGGATAGATGATACATTAAATTGTATTAAATATGTATTAATTTAATCTCTACTATTTTTACAAGCAATATCGTACACATACCCGTGCTTGTGACACAAACACCGAATTATGATGTGCTTAAGGAAAAGTTAGACATGAAGAACAGAACTAAAAGGGCATTCACTTAGCAACTCAGCCATCTTTTCATTAAAAATTTACCAATGTCAGTGGCAGTTACACAATTTGTTGTATTAACTTCTATGAAACAAAACGGCTTGAAACACAACTGTATTTTCCTAGCATTCGTACCCATGGTTATAACTAAGCCATGCGATCCTTTGATTAAGGATAACGAAAGTACACTTTTGCCTCGATCGTTTCAGGAAATACGCAGACTTAACCTCAACTATTAACGTACTAGGAAACGTTGCCAATTTTGAAAAGCAGATTTAAACTACGCTCCTGTACCACCAAATTGAGAAACAATTAAATAGCATGGAAAGAAAAAGGAACATGTGCAAACGTTACATTTCCCGTCGCATATACAGATCCATCATTAGAAGTCGAGCGGCTTCCTTGCTTCATCCAGTTAATGCTGAAAAGCTAATCTTCGTTTGTAATGAGATGATAATCGGCATTTAGGAATAATTTTTTAATAGGAATACTTATCGTTAAATGAACATTCCACGAA